TATGTGGGAAGTAGCTCTTTATATCTCATATGTCATTTTGACCTAGAAACCGCTAAATATTTACAGCTTTCAGCTTCTCCTAATTCCTAACCTTCCATAACATTCAATGACTTTTATATCACCTCAAAAACAATAATCCTGGATCTTTTTCTCTAACGAAACTTCCTTTCATGAATGCCAGTTCTGTAGACATGTACTGGGTCATCCCCCAGGCATTGCAAACTGAGCATGTCCTAATGGCAACTCATGATCTTCCCTTCCATCAGCCATAGCCCAGTGTGAACCATGTTAGAAGACTGGAAAACCCCATTCTTATTTATTTCTCTCCACACAACCCACAAAGTTCTGCATTCCCAGTTCTCCTTTACCATTTTAGTCCTTGGTAGTCTTCCTTTTTATTTTTTTCTTTTTCTTTGCAATGCAGTTTTTTATACCACAGAAAAAAAATGTAAACTCCACCCTTGGAGAGTATCCTCATTTTTTCACAATGTAACAACACTGCTATATATTTAACAGATTCCATTTGTACTTTCCTAAATTAGCCCATTTTATGCTTTGTAGGCTAACCTCATACAAACGCTTCTTTTAAAGAGCAGATGAATTTCCTTAGCATTTTATAATATTCAGCCGAACAAGGAGGTGGTTTGCCTCCAAATTTTCCAAACACAGAATGTTTCTGTTAATAAATAAATGCATATCTCTAATTTGGGAATCCTATTATTTCTAGGCAAAGAAACCGAATAAAAAAATTGGTAATATAGGGATGCCTGGGTGGCTCAATTGGTTAAGCGTCTGACTCTTGATTTCGGCTCAGGTCATGATCTCATGGTTCATGAAATGAAGCCCCACCTTGGGCTCTGTGCTGACAGTGTGGAGCCTGTCTGGGATTCTCTCTCTACCCTGGCCCCCGCTTGTACTCATGGGCTCTCTCTCTCTCAAAATAAATAAATAAACTTTAAAAACCCCCAGATAGTGACATTATTCTAATGATTTCAAAATAAATGTCAAAATAAATGAACTGGTCAGCTACAAGAATTTATGCTTTATTCATAAAGCTTTACTCTTCCACCCTCTGAATTACAGGCTTTTTATGACAATTTTCTCATGACAATTAGGCAACACTTTGCCATCTGAGTTATATGTATTACCTTTTTCCTCTTCATATTTTACCCCAGGAAAACTCTACATATTGTCCAAGGCAGATGAGAAAGCTGTGATGGGATGATACTTTGAAACACTGCCCATTGTGTTCTTTGTCAAATTTTACTTGTACTCTGTGACCTTCACCAAGTGAGCTGCAAGATAGAACTATTTCTGTACTCTCACGAAGTTCTCAGGAATTTGTGGAAAGAGAAAGATCCATTTACTGTAAGGGTTTTGTCCCTGGTGATAAGAAAGGTGGGGTTCTCAGAGGAGGCATCAGTGATTCCTGGACTGGATAGGAGCTGAAGATGTGAACATCCCTGCAAATGCCGGCAATGATGATTCACTGTACCCAAGATGGTGACTAGATGGCATACAACTGAGCAAATGACGGCGTGGTACACATGATGGTGCCAGCAACCAGAATCCTCTCCTAAATCATTCCCCACGCACCAACCCAGGTGGCCAATCTACAGAATTTAACATTCTGGAATTTAGAAGCCACCTCAGGAAGAAAGATGGTGAGATCACAAATTAAAGTGAGTGCCCCTAAATTTTGCCCTCCTTCTGGAATCTTTCTATTCAAGACTACTCAGACAAGAATAAAACACTGGCCTTATCTCTTATCTCAGAACTTTTTTCAAGTTTTATGGAGAAATAATTAGTAAACAACACTGTATAAGTTTAGGGCCTGCAGCATAGTGGTTTGATTTATATATTTTATAAATATTTTATTTTATAAAATGATTATCATAGTAGGTTCAGCAAACAATCACCTTCTCATACAGATACAACAGAAAGAAAAGAAAAGAAAATATTTTCTTCATGTGATAGGAACTGTTAAGATTTACTCTCTTAACAACTTTCCTGTATATCATACAGCAGTGTGAGCTATAATCACCATGTTATATGCGCATGCTGTATTCTGCACTGTTCGTGGGAATGTAAATTGGTGCCGCTATTTTAGAAAACAATATGGAGACGCCTCAAAAACTTAAAATGAAAACTACCAGATGATCCAGTAATACCACTTCTGGGAATGTATGCAACGGAAACAAAAACATTAGCTCAGAAAGATATCTGCACCATCATATTCATAGCAACATTATTTATAATAACCAAGACATGGAAACAACTTAAGTGTTCCTAAACAGATGAGTGGATAAGGAAGTTGTGGCATATATATACACACACACACACACACACACACACATATGTCATCTTTGCCAATGCTCTATGACCTAGTGTTGGGGAACTATAAGTAAAAACAAAATCTCCTCTCAGTCCAGGAAAGTTCTCCACAAAGGCAGAAGAGAAAGAAAACCATTTGTTTTTGAATAATCATTAAGCCAGATGTTGTACATCACAAGCAATCCACCAAAGGCCAAGACAGAAGAAATCTCACCCTCTTCTAGAGCCAAACAATTACAACCCATTACACACATATTCTCAAGATAAATGTGAACTAGTTCTCAAGAAAGAGGATTTGACAGCACCATTTGTCACACACAGGTCAATCTAAATTCACCAAGTAACTGGGGTGACCATCTATGTTAGCTAACTGACTTTATCCAGAAGAAAAAGAAACTCAGATCTGTTTAATAGGAAATAATTTTATAACTTGGTGTGAGGTGTGTGTTGCCAAAGTTAGGCTCCCATCATGCTACAGAAACAGGGTCACAGTCTTCTGTGATGATTACTTTCCAAATAGATGTCTCCCATATCTTTGAGATCCTTATTTAGCTTTTAGTAAGATTCATGTATATTTCAAAATGACAGAGAAAGAACTTACCAATTTTCTAAAGTAAATGCTCTAAGAAAAGGGGATGGGAAGTCTCTTTGTCTCTTATTTTTAATTTTTATTTCCCCTACAACTGGATAAGTCATTAAATGCTCTAAGTCCTTGTGTCTGCATTTATAAAAGGCTAATTTGTATTTTGTAGTCTCTAACATACATTTTATCTGTACAGTTCACATGACTATCTTTTTTTCAACTTGATGTCATCCACAAATTTGTTAAGTTGCCTTCTAAGTACTCATCTAAATATATCATTGAGAAAGAGGAAGGAATCCCTGAGATTCTGGTCTGACGCTCACAGCTACACCGTGATCTTCTCTTATTGAACAGAATAGCAACATCAGACAAGGTCACTCTAAGAGTGTGATAAAGTGAATCAAAGCAAGGTCACTGTGTTAGCCACAAAATCTGAAACTTCCTCCTCCCCTAGCTAATCTGAGTGACTGCTGCTTTTTTTTTTTAATCATTATGGCTTTATCCTATTTAAAAAAATTTTTTTATAGTTTATTTTATTTTTGAGACAGAGTAGGAGTGGGGTAGGAGCAGAGAGAGACAGAATCTGAAGTAGGCTCCAGGCTCTGCGTTGTCAGCACAAACACAGGGCTCAAACTCATCAACTGTGACATATGACCTGAGCCAAAGTCGGACGTTCAACCGACTCAGCCACCCAGGTGTCCCTATCTTATGTTCTTTTTATAGATAAGATTGATTAAGGTACCCAACCAGACAATTATTCATTTCCTGATAACATCTAAAGCCCCATTTCCTTAGACTCTCTCCAAAATAACTCAGCCAAAACTCAAATCCTAGCGTAGAATGTCCCTTAACAACGTTTTACTGCAATGGCAACAAGTAATAAACCCATCTTTTTCAGCTACATGTATGTTGCTAGTGGTCTTTGGCAGGAAGGAATTGACATCATTGATTTAAAATGAATATGGAACAGGACAAAACCAAGGGCAGAGTCTGTGAAACAACAATGGAGCCTTCACTGCTTATTGTCATTGGTCCTTTAATCAGTAACTTTGGTCATGGTTATTTAACTCAGTACATATCTACCTGACTATACAATTATTCTTTTTATCTCTTTTTATTTTCTTCACAAGGATATCAACAGACTGTTTCGAATTAATTTGTCAGACTATTTATGTAATATCCAGGACATTGCCCTGATATTTTTTTTCACTTTTTTTTTAAATTTTTTTTTAATGTTTTATTTATTTCTAGGAGAGAGAGAGAGAGAGAGACAGCGTGAGCAGGGGAGGGTCAGAGAAAGAGGGAGACACAGACTTTGAAACAGTCTCCAGGCTCTGAGCTGGCAGTCAGCACAGAGCCCGACGCGGGGCCGAACCCACGAACCGCGAGATCATGACCCAAGCGAAAGTCGGACGCTTAACCGACTAAGCCACCCAGGCGCCCCTTTTTTTTTCACTTTTGAATGATTTATGTGCGTGTGTTTATAACGTGTGTTTATAAATTGTGTATCTACATAGTTGGGGGCTGGGGTAGGAAAGGTGATCAAAGTTGTTTGGTTTGTCAGTGTTTATTAAACTCATGTCAATACTTACTGTCTCCCTATATGCTACTCAATATGACACCTTCTCCTTGTTTGCCTGTCTTATTATCACCTAAAGTATCTTAAGTTTCTATTTTTTCCTCCACATTTAGGCCTCAATTCCTTTATTACATATTTGTGCTGTTCTTTGGATGTAAAGCTGTTGTTACTATTGTTTAGTAAGTAAAATGACTTGTTGAAAGGTTCTCCTTCTTTCTATCATGTTAAGTCTGCAGTATCTATTATAGTCAGTGGAGCTAACAGAATTCCTAATATATGTATGCTCTGATTATTATGAAGAACTCCGAATTAACCTTAGATTTTTTTTACCGAAATTAACACATTAGATGCTTAAGAATTGCCTACTTCTAAAACTAACTAGGAAAGGATCAAAATTCCATATAAATGTTCAATGGAAGTAACATCTCTGGGAAACCACCCCCAGGAGTAGGGAAACAAAGGGAAAGGTTGGCATTATGACATCATAGAGTCCTGGAGAAGGGATGAGTGAGGCTGAGGCTCGGACTTACATAGAAGGTACCCTGGCAGGCTGGTTCTGGGGTCTCTGAGGGAGCGCACTGAGGTCAGGTCTCCAAGGGATGGAAAAACTGCAAATTGGATCAGATGTGGATCCTACAGGGAACTGTCTCTGCTGGGGTGAAAAGCATTGCTGGTAAGACACTCGCAGGAATGGGAAATACATACAAGCCCACAGAAGGGAGAACATCCCTTCTCCTTCGTCCAGCCGGTGTGTCCCTATTGCCAGAGCCCAATAGAGAGCAGCTGGCCAAGAAGAAACATCCGCAGAGTCTCAGCCCCAGCACCATAAGCTGAGTCTATACGGTGGGTTTGAAACCCAGAGATGATAGCTTAATGACTGTACAAACGTTGTCTCAAAGATTCATGCCAGGCTTTTGTGCTTGTCTTTGATGAAAGCCCCCCTCCTTTTTTTTTTTTTTTTTTTTTACATGTTCTGTCACTTAAAATAAAGTTTTTAAAGTTGTTTTGCCTAATGCTCAAAGACATTTGGCTGTTTCCAGTCAGGGTTATGATTTCTAAACTTACATGGTCACTCTCTCCCCATGGCTTCCTCTTGACTAACAAATTTTCCTGGTAGGCCCTAAGTAAACACAGAGGGACACTTTCCTTCACTGCTCCCTCTTCTTTCTGAAATATGTTACCATAAATTTCCACAGGGTGACCTATGCACTCAAAAATCTGTTTATCTCCTCCTGATTTCACCTCCATGAAGAGAGTACCTTGTATCCTTAACAGTATATATCTTTTGATTATGTGCAGAATGTATGAATGAAAACCCTGGCTAGCTTCTGGTAAGGTCTTTTCCTAGCAATAAATAAAAAAGCCCCTGATCCTATTTCTTACAGAAAATATATAAATTTTTTATATTTAGTCGTTTCCTCGCCTTAGTTTCCTTGTATTAAAGCCCTCTACATTTTTTCTCTCAAAGCTTAATAATTAAATATCCATTCTTGTGATTTTTGTCAATAATATGCTCCCCACCTCCAAAACATATACTTTTATTTTGTTCCTAATTCAGTTTCTAGGTTTCCTCTCTTCCCTTGCGTTATCTTCTCTGCCTAGGCTCCATCTACACTACCTCTATTATTTTTATTGTGCAGAGTTTTATATTAAATTTTCAGAGACTCTCTACTTCATTTCTTTTTTTCTCTTGGGGACTTCAGACAAAACCTCTTCTTCAGAACTTAACATCTGTCATCTTTCTTTAGCCAGAAGGGTCTTCTCCCTGCTGTATTCTTGCTGCCCCTCCTATGTCTCCCTGTAGTCACTTGTTTTCTTCAAGTTCTTATTTATTTACTATTCTCATACCCCTACCACGTGGGCCCTATCTCCCAACCACCCCTCTATTTCTTTATCATCATTTGGTTTTCAGTAATTTGAGAAATAGAAAATAACATACAACATGACACTGACTTGCCTTTCCTTCCTTATAGGTAAGACAGTTCACCTCACCAGTCATGCTCAGTCATTTTTGAACTCGACATTCATATCTCATCTTTAGCTTTTACATATCCTGGCTATAATTCTTCTCTTCTTCAAAAAGAAATGAAAAGCTCCTGGCAGTTGGAGAACCTCATCTTCCTCTTTCCACAACTAATACACAAATGGGTTCCCCAGTACCAATCTCAGCTGGCTTGCCATATACGAGAAGTGCTAAAATAATGCAATATTAGTGATAAAAGAGAACAAATTCTGCATTGTGCAAGAAAATTAAATCAGCCCAAAATTCTCAAGTAACATAGACCTATTTTTTTCATGACACAGAACAAATTAAATCAAATATCTCTAATGATATAAATTTAACATCAACACTTCCAATTTCCAGGGTCTGGATTTCTATCTATATGACACTGTGTTGTAAAGCCTTTTGGTTTTATTCTATTTGAATTAATAATTATAGTACTTTGGATTTTCCAAAATCCTTTCAAATATTTGATTAGTACAGTACTCTTTATACCATGCAGAAAAAAATATATTATTTCTATTTTATAGATTAAAAAATAACTGGAAAAATCTTCAGTGATCTTCAAAGACACAAAGATATGATAAAATCGGATTTAAATTTAGTTTTCCTAAGATATTACCTTTCAACTACGAAAGGAGTTGCAGTATCCTTGCCACATCATGCCTGCCTTGCTAGCAAGATCCCTACACAATTTAAGAAACAAATTGACTTAAAAAAATATCTCACTAGACACTGTTATAAAACTCTTATGTATTCTTCCAGAAGGCTCTTTGGCAGTGGATATGAAACATCATAAATGTTTTCTTAATTTTCAACCTAATAATTCTACTTCCACAAATCCATTTTGGGAGAATAATCTGAAATACAAAGATTATTTATGAAAAAGTATATCCAGTGAAGAATTACTTATAACTGAAATCAAACTATAGCCAAAAGTGGTGGAAGGTTAAATAAATACAGTAAATCCACAAGGTAAAATTATGAACAGCTATTAAACTAAGCCCCATTATGAGTTTATACTACCATGAAAAATGATTATTCTATGAATGCTAATTGAACAGAATAGGATTCAACTTTATAGGTAAATTATGGTCACAGCTACCACATATCCTCATTCAATATATCTTTTCACTTGTATACATTTAAAATGCTAATTTTTAAATTTTGTTTTCTGAAAATGTATTATTTATGTTGCTGATATGGCAATTAATGTTGCTGGTAATGGCATTTTTTTTATACTCAAGGAAAAATACATTGCAAAATTCATGAAAAAAACTCTGGAATAAAAGTAAAAAATGTTAAATTTATTTAGATAAAAGTTATTTGGGGATAATTTTCTTCTTTTACCTGCCTATATTTTTCACCAAATCTATAATTTAGTAAACAATAACAAATACTTCCAGTGAAGGCTCCCTGGTGTCTAGTCTCTCACATAAACCAAATACCTTTTTTTATCATTGACCTTCATTCTGACACCTTTATTAATATAGCTATTATGGAAACATTTTAAGCTGGAAATATTTTATCTCTCTCTATGTTTTTATTTTATTTTTGAGAGAGGAGACAGAGTACGTGTTGGGGAGGGGCAGAGAAAGAGGGAGACACAGAATCCAAAGCAGGCTCCAGGCTCTGAGCTATTGGCACAGAGCCCAACATGGGGCTCAAATTCACAGATGGTGAGATCATGAACTGAGCCAAAGTCAGATGCTTAACCAGCTGAGCCACCCAGTCGCCCCTTATCTCTTTTAATTAAGTCTTTTTATCTCCCACAGTTTTCCCTCCCACTTTCTTCAATTTAAATTCTCATCTTATTTTTTTGTTTGTCTTGATTTGTTTTGTTTTGTTCTGATATGCTTCCCAAGACTGCACTAACTTAAAAACTTTTTATTCTATGTGCCCCCTTCTGCCTTCCTCTTGGAAGCCATTCTCCGCTCTAGTCTCCCAGGTCTCTAGCTTCTTAATTTCTCATATGACCTCAAAAAGTGACCTATCCAACCCTCAAAATTCTTTAATGCCAGACCTCAGTGCTTGGCACCCCATGATATCAAAGTACTGGGAGTCTGTTTTCATGAGGAAATGAGGAATCTCCCCTGAGGAAGTTTACATTAAGTGGGCAAAAGATACTGCCTATGTCTGTGCATAATATTATACCCCAAATTAGTGGAAATCATGTATTTGTCATTTGGACATGTCTCTTATTTCAGTACTCTTCTGGAAGAATACTAGTAATAATAACAGTACTTTTTCTCTATTAGACATTCATAGGTGCATATGATGCCTCTCTGAGCAAGAGAAAAGGTGTTTCCTAGACTATATATACAATTATATAATTTTGTGTTAGGGCAAAGGAGAGTTTGTCACCTAGGATGTTCACCTAAGTTTGTAGCTAGCCAAACTTCTAATTAAACTTAAATCATTTAACTTAAATGATCTTAGATCTGAAGCTAGAGCACAAGTTCCATTACCATAAGACTGCTTGAGTAATGATAACAAGTGACAAGTGCTAATCAAAACCTAGATAAGAAGGTTCATCAAATAATACCAAATCCCAAACAACTATAATGAATAGGACAGAAGAGTCAAAGTAGTAAAATAGGTAGAATATAAAGTGCTATATGACTTTAATAATTAAATATTTTTAAATATCCTTCTAAGATGGATAGCTTGAAATTAATATTTCTTCAACCTCCACAGAAATTCAGGTTCTTAAAAAATCAGAATATATTTGCATCCACCAAGAACAACATGGCAAAGTAGTTAGTGCATTCACTCTGAACCAGACTCAATTCCTTCTTGGCTCTGCTTCTTGGGCAAGTTGCTTAACTTCTCTGTTACCAATATGTAAAATGGGACTAATAAAAGAATCAATTATGTTAATTGAGTAATTAAGTAATTACAACTTTCTTAGAGAAATGTCTTAGAAGGTTAATTGTGCCATTTCCAAATAGGTCTACTTGACATAAGAATTACTTTTGAGCTGATTATTTTTAAGAAACTGCAGACACAGGGGAAGTTCTGAAAAAATAATAGAAGTTACCCTTTTGTAAGGAGAATTTACATACTCACAGGAAATCTCCCTTTGTGTCTTTTTCTCTGTACCAGGAAGAGAAGGACGCTCTAAATCACAAGAAACTCTTATCAATGGAGGAGTTAAATCTACATAACAGCCTTGCTATTATTTACTGTGCTTTCCCTGATAATGTTACTTAACCCCTCATCTCCCAACATCTTTCTTTTGTCTTAAACTGGAGAGAATATTTAAGGTGGTGGCTTGGGCCATTTCTATTTTCCTGTTTTCCTGAGGATATCTCATACATACATGAGGTATACACATTCTTAAACTTGTTTGTTTTTCTCTTATCAATCTGTCTTTTATCACAGGGATGTTTCAGCCAAGGACCCAGAACAGTAGAGGATAAATTATTTTTCCTCCCCTACACCTAATACATAATGAGTACCAAATACATTTTGCTAAATGGGGGGGGGGGGGAAGAAAGCTTGAAAGAAGGTCAAGGTTTTGTTCTATATAGATTTTTATCCCACTGGTTGAGACCCTCATCCACAAGGTTCTGGGCCCAGCAGTGAATTTGTATTATTGGTACAGTCTATTACCAAATATGGCAAGATGACTGTTGTGCGGTAAGTTTTATGTGTTAATTTGGCTTGTCTATAGTAACCAGTTTTAGGGGAAAAAAATTCTCTTTCTCCTAATACTCAGCTAGAAGCTCTGCAACAAAAGGTAAATTAACAAGAGAAAAACAAACAGAAGTTTATTAATACATCTACCTCATGTATATATGGATGATACTCAGGGAGGTGGCTTAATGCAGGTGTAAGTACCATCTTCAGCTAAAGGCAAGGAGAGAGTGTTGTAGGGGAAGCTAGTTATGCATAGCTAACCGTGAAATATATAGTAAACCAAAGGAAGGTTTGTTATGCACATACATACGTGCATATCCTAATGGTTGTCTTTCTCTGGTGGAATCCTGAGTAATCAGTTGTCCAAAGTGCTGAGTCAAAGAATGCATTTTTGTGTCAAATACAAAATCCTTTGGTAGAAAGGTAGAAAATGGACCAACTCAGAGGAAACTGTTCCACCACAACTGAAATATTGCAAGGATCTAATATAAAGGTTTTTTTGTGGAGTGAATGATAATTGCGAACATTTTTATGCAAAACACATCATTTCCCTTGAACAATTTATAGCCATAATTGAACTCATAACTATCAATAGACTGGAACAATTTATAGACATAAGTGAATTCATAACTATCAATCGACTGGAACAATTTATAGACATAAATGAATTCATAACCATCAATTGACTACTCGGAGAAAACTGCTACAGGTGCCATCCATGAAGTGATGGTTGATTGAGTTTCCTATGGGCAAGGAGGTGGATTGGAGGTGGCAGATAAAAGTGGATGGAAGTAAATCACCACTGTTGAACTTCACTACCCTGATCAGTCACCTGAATTACACTTGTTAGGAGAAAACAATCAAACTGACATGCTTCTGTAAACTTCTAGGAGTCAAAATAACAAAATACACATCTAAGATGCAGAAGTAAACTAGGGAAAGCAGCAACATTTCAGTTTTATCTTCACCTTTGAAGGCAGAACACAACAAGTGAGTTAAGTCCCTATCCTCGTCCAGAACAGACTAAGGTCAGTTGAAAGTCATTTGCGTCTAAATTACTTCTAGTGTGAGAGTTGACCATGGGTTTAAATTCTCTTAGTAAAAAATTTCCAAGTATAAATGACATTCACTAAAAATAAAGTTATGGTGGAATAATATTGGGATCAAGAGATTATGGAAACAATACTTTAGAACAAAAAAGAAGTCAAGCAAATAACAACTAATTCTTATGACTTGGCATATGTTCAATTCCAGGCCTTTTCAGTGTGCTAAATTTCATGCTATCTAAATCATTTTATATTTAGCATTTAAAAATCAAATCCAATGTATTTGGTATAAGGTAGATAAATTTTCTGATAAAAATTGTGATTAATTCAAATGTTTCCTATTCTATTAGCTTTAAACTACATGTATTGTATACAAAAGTAAATTTACCAATAAAGCTGATTTTTTTCTTAACAGGAACTGCTGACTCTTTCCTACCAGAGAAACAAAAGGAAAACTTGCTTTCTTTGATGGAAGAAAAAAAAAATACCTACATTGTCTAAAACCCCTACTTTATGTCACAAAAAAATAAAATCTGAAATTGAAATCAAAGGAAAGGTATTTGTAGAAACTTTTAGTCTTTTTGAAATATTCAAATTCCAAAGGAACTAGACTATTTTAAAAGGAAGAATGCAAGATCAAAGTCATGAAGCCAAAATATCACCTCATATAAAACAGGCCACCTGAATTAGTATATTCCCAGAGTTTAAATCTGGAAAAAAAAAAAGAAAAAGACACAATGCCAGCTACAAAAAAAGTCTGGAACAAAGTTACATATTTGCAGGTTTTATGGAAACCCAAAAAGGGCAATTTGTGTGCTTTATAAAGTATGCATAACCAAAAGTTACTTTCACAGGTATGAAATGAAACAGGTTTCTACAAATCCAAAGCAGTTTTTGTCCTTAAGTGAAAAAAGAAAAAGAAATTTTTGATCACTGTATGGTATAGTTTATCTTGTTTTGTTTTATTTGTAACAAAGCATTATGCAAGAGATCCTATATTTTAGAACAATCATTGAATAATAAGTGATGGTTCTACTTACAGCTGAAAATATACAATAGAGAAAATTTTTGATTGAATAAATTTGGGGGTGTTTTGGTGAAGAAACAAACTTACTTTGATAAGGAAATACAGTAATGTAGTTTATCTCAGAATGTCAGAGATTTAGAATTGCCCTGTGATTCATGGATTAGCTCATCTTTTCACCTGAGAGGTGCTGTAAGTCCAAGCATAGGCTAATTGTGAAAGCTCACTTTTACTGGTCCTCACCTCCTTGTGGTCAGAATCTTGCATCAGGGACCTGTGTTTGACCAAGTAAGTCTGTTTTGTGACTCTCTGATTCAGTATAATTAATCTGGTGCTCTGATCTATTTTGGCCCCTTCATTTTTTTTTTTTAAATGAGACATGAAATTGTGATTAATGTGTCTTATTATATGTTTAACAAAACAGAGTGATAAGACATTAAGGTTAGAGAGTCAGCCTCTCTCTGGAACCTTCCTAAAAATGATGGTCATTTTTACTCTTCCTTCTATATTACCAGGAATACTATCCCATTCTCCGCTACCAGCCATTGCCTGTGGGGTGTGTCTCTTCCTCTGAGAGCTCCTTGGTTCACCAATGTTCTCGCCTGCCTGAAAGTAACATTTTTCACCATCTCTAAGGATTAGAAGTCCATAAATACTATAGCAGTGATAAAGGAAATGTGCATAATGGGACCCACAAAACGGAACCTGCCTTAGGGTGCTTGAGTGGCTCAGTCAGTTAAGCGACCGATTTTGGTTCAGGTCATGATCTCGCAGTTCTTGGGTTCGAGCCCCGCTTCAGCTCTGTGCTGACAGCCAGCTCAGAGCCTGGAGCCTGTTTCAGATTCTGTATCTCCCTCTCTCTCTGACCCTCCCCTGCTCATGCTGTCTCGGTCTCTCTCTCTGTCTCTCAGAAATAAATAAAACATTAAAAAACATTTTAAATGGAACCTGCCTCAGTGACCTGGCCCACATCACACATCTACACCTAATTCAGCCTACCCTTACAGGAACACCAGCTGTCTAGGAAACCTAACATACCCCAATCACAATCCTCCAATTCAGCTTTAGCTAGCTCACCTCCCTCTGGGAATTAGAACCTGCTAGTCTTACCAGGAGACCCCCACATCGTAGCTACTAATGCCATGTTTCCAAATTGCTGCTTCTAATGCTCTATCAATCTTCCTATTGCCCGAAACCCCTCAGGAATAATGCTCACTTCTTGAGAGGCATTGTACTCCCCCAAATTGTGGATTATTTTCTCTCAAATAAAAGATATCAAACTAATTGCTAAACTGTATTTTTTCCCCATTTAATAATAGATAGAAGACCAGTTGCCTGGAAGATCTTTCAAGCAGTTTCCAAAAGTGGGAAGCAGTCCTGTTTCTTATAATAGCCTTATTATACTTAATTTAATAATATATTTTACAATATTTTCTTGTTGTAAAATAGATATAACAGGAAACTTGACATTTTAATCATGTTTAGATGTGCAATTCCACGGCATTACTTACATTCACAATGTCGTACAACCATCAACACTATTTCCAAAATGTTTCCGTATCCAAAATAAAAACTACACCCACTAAGTAATTACTCCCCATCCCACTTTCCTCTCGGCCCTTGGTAACTTCTAATGTAATTTCTATGATGAGTTTATGTATTTTTTAATGTTTATTTTTAAATGTGACATTCCTGGAATAGTCCTGGTTATAAATTTTGGTTTATGCATTTAAATTCTGATGGAAAAAAAGAATAGATTTTAACTGAACCAATCCAAATAACTACATTTCCATAAAAAGGTATTTTCATACATTTGTTCATTTATCTAATTGGTTTTGAAGTTAAAGTTAATCAACATAAAATCACTACTTTCTATACACTGACCATTCTTAAGTTCTATTGGTGACCATTATATTATAAACTATATTGAGATTTTTCCATAGAACCTTCTTCCCCCCCAAATTCTGAGACATTGGCTGGGCCAAGAGACAATTCAAAGAGACTTTTATTTCAATTCGCACATTTGTGGCCCATTAAACTGAGGATTATAAATAGACCAAGGAGAAACTTGTTTTAAATTATGCCCATTAGAAATTATAACATTGACTATAATTAAATTTCTCTTATATCAGGTATAGTCAATCCTACAAATTTAATTCTTTTTAGCCAAGCCTTGGCTTAACAATCTGCTTTCATGGAGTCATTCATTTCTAGATTAAAGGTCTCCTGGATATCCTAGCCCAGTCCCCTGATAGAGTCTGACAAACATCTGACCATGAGGGTGACATCTGACACCTGGAAATCTGTACCTTGAGAATGGCAAAGTCAGTATCAATAAGAGTTATCAGAAGAGACCAGTCATCATGTCAAAATGTAAAGACAAAACGATTGTAGTCTTGGTGACAACTATAACCAGACTGCCAATGTTTTAAAATAAAAATAGCAGAATGTTACACTAATTATAAGGAATGTGAGTTTTTCAGAGAACTTCTGATTTTGACTGTAAGACGGTTCATAAGCATGACAAGTCAACACAAAGGCACATAAAGCTACCAAGTCCTCATATGAAGATGTTCTCAAACATAATTGAGACAGACTAAAATTATCCCTGTGATCCATTATAAAGTAGTTGAGCCATTCATTGGGGGGTTTCTCCAAGCCCTATAAACATATGATAAACATATACAGAACAAAAACAGTTCTAATTCTTATCCACCGGTGTAGCATTCTCACATGGTCCCTAAAACAAAACTAATCCAGAAATGCACGAAGCAGAATTATGCCAGAAATAGACTGAAGGAAAGCAAAAGCTCTATTAAAAGTTACCTTAGAGACTAAACAAGAATCCTGGGCACCAGATGACAGTTGGTACATTTACTGAATGACTTATATTGCTCAATTTCATTGGCTAAAATTTATAAGAGTCAGATCCTTGAGAACAATAAAAAAGACAAGCAACCAACCAATCAAATAATAAACAAGCAAGCAGAGAAACTCATGGAAAATTTAGATCAATGAGTGAAGATTTTCTTACTTATAATAAAGCATTATTCAAGCCAGATTAGCTTTCAGAACAAGTAGTTTCCTGGAAAGAGAAATTGAGGCTATATTTGTAGTTCAAATTCTTATATCCCAGTTGACAGTTCTGAATGACTACCATTTGGGCCACTGTTGACAAAAACAGAAGTTATAGTCTACCATAAGAAAAAAAAATTATAGCATATTTCAGGATGCAGTTTTCAAAATCACAGAAACTAAGATCCAAAGGAGTCAAAGAGAAAGAGAAATAAGGCAAATAAAAGAAAAAGAAAATATATATATATGCGCATGCTATATATTACATGTAATATATATACACATATGTAATAAAATGTGGATACATATATTTTGTATGTATGCATGTAGACTTTTAGACCTTTTTTTTTTTAACAACTCAGTAAAAATATGAAACAAAATCTGATCTGAAAAATCTTAGATTAAGTTTACTGTTAAAAAACTCAAGTCTTCCTCATTATTCTAGCATGAAAATATATACTGAGCATGAAACTTGATCTTGACTTTGGAGAGACGTACATGTTTTCCCATAGTAGTTTACAATTCTTCCATTCAGCTGTCCCCAAAATAGCTCTGGCTCTGAGTGGAACCTGAATTGTAAAACCAAACTGGGGGCACCTGGGTGGTTTAGTCGGTTAAGCGTCCGACTTTCGCCCAGGTCATGATCTCCCAGTTCGTGAGTTCTAGCCCCGCATTGGGCTCTGTGCTGACTGCCAGCTCAGAGCCTGGAGCCTGTTTCAGTCTGTGTCTCCCTCTCTCTCTGACCCTCCCCTGCTCACGCTCTCTCTCTCTCTCTCTCCTAGAAATAAATAAAAAACATTAAAAAAAAAAGTTAAAACCAAACTGAATTAATCCAGCTTCCTCACCACTGCAGTAAAATGAATTTTAATGCTCAGTTTTGCTTTAAGAGTACATCTACTTCATTACTGCCTTTCCTCTAAAAATGTAACATAAGGAGCGCCTGGGTGGCTCAGTCGGTTAAGTGCCCTACTCTGGATTTTGGCTCAGGTCATGATCTCACAGTTTGTGGGTGCAAGCCCCATGTTAGGCTCTGCTCTGACAGTGAGGAGACTGCTTGAGATTCTCTCCCTGTCTCTGCTTTTCTCTACACCCCTCCCCTGCTCATGTGCTCTGTCTCAAAATAAATAAACTTAAAAAATTAAAGTTAAAATGTAACATAATACAAATACATTTTTTAAATATGAATTTGCAAAGCATTGCTTTTTAAAAAAATATTACACTCTTGGGGCGCCTGGGTGATTCAGTATGTTGAGCATCCAACTTGATTTCTGCTCAGGTCATGATCCCAGGGTCATGGGATCAAGACTCAAGCTGGGCTCTGTGCTGAACGTGAAAGCCTGCTTGGAATTTTCATTCTCTCTCTCTCTCTCT